AGCCACTGTGGCTGAGAGCCCATGCAGGCCCTGAGATACACACAGAGAAACCAGCTTGGGTGCAACACGAAGCTCTTTATGTAAAAAATAGTGAAAAAAAAAACACAAACTAACCTAAAATTTTTTGCTTCTTTCAAGGCCCTTTTCTCTGTCTCTTTAGACCGGTCTCTCTCCCCTCCATGCTGGAGGGAGTCAGTCTTTTAGTGTCCACTTTCCTCCTCTGATTGGCCTCAGCTGGCCTCTCCACCACCATAGTACTTCTATCCCACTTCTTAGTGTATTAAAGTACATTTTTGAATATACTCACCATAAACCACTAGTTTCATAGTTTTTGTACTGCACTTGTACCTGTACTTGTAAGTTTTATTATTATATTAACTTAAAATGTATACTTTACTACCTATACCAGCAGTCATTGGGTGGAAAGCAGGAAACACCCTGGACAGGTCGCCAGTCCGTCACAAGAGGCATCACTGCAAAAAATGCTTTTTTCCACCTTTTTAAGAAAAGCTGAACTGAATGTTCTGATGGCAGAGCAGTTCAATGTGACTGTCCATGATTGTGAAAGTATGGGCAGTATTGATTTTTTTAGTACAAGGTTAATTTGGCAAATAAAAACACATAAAGCCCATTATCTTTTAAATAATTACACTGATTTAAAAATGTCAAGCTACATTCCTTGGAAGATGGGAACCAGAGAAGTATACAATGCACTGGAGATGATGAGAGTCTGTCTAGATGTAGTAGTTGTTCAGGAAGTCAATTCAATTCAATTCAACTTTGTCATTATACATATATGGGATACAGTGTAACGAAACACATACGGGCTACTTCTCTGGTTCATAAACATTGAGACGAGGACATGTACTAGTAGGATGGCAGTATATATACATTAAGTATATTAAATATATACATTAACATTAAAGTGCAGTGTACTTATAGTTTAAGTTGTGTTTTTTTTATGACCTGGTGGGTGCTTTAGATGTGATTCATTTAACAGCTCAGGGGTAGAAACTTTTCTTGAACCTGGTGGTTCTAGCTTGAATATTCTGATATCTTGTCCCAGGTGGCAATGGATAGAACAAGAAGTGGCTGGGGTGAGTGGGGTCTGAGGTGAAGTGCATGCAGCTCTCTTTCAACAGGAATGCAGAACTGGATGCCATCAAAATGTCCATCCGTTCAGATGGCTGTAAAGAGGCTCCATGATCTTCTGAGGGAGTTCTTCATGTCACAGCCCTCCACAACACTGTATTTGAGTTATACGTTTTTAAGGCCTTCAAAAGAGAAGAATGTGGAAACAAAAGGCCAACCTTACATTCTCACCCCTCCTAGAGTCATACAATCTCTCTTCATAGTATAACAATATGTTGATGGTGAGGTCTAAACTTAAACCAATTTATCAACCATTTTTTCTGTACATTAAGAGAGCAACACCTGGCAGGAAACCCAAAAGAAAACCACTTTACCTCATCACACAGACAGTTTTTGTACAGTGTTGCTTTATTTCTTGTCACTGTGTGTTCCACAGCACAGTAGTAGAGTGCAGAGTCTGATAGTGCAGCAGAGGAGATTATCAGATCCACTCTTTTATTCTGAACCTTAGCAGAGAAGCCTGGTGGTCAAGAATCACTCAAACTCCCAGATTCAGTTATATACAGGAGAAAGTCCAGTTTAGATGAGGGATATTGTCGATACCACTGAACACTGTGCATATCACTGCTGCTGTAGCTGCAGGAGAGGGAAACACTGTCGCCTACTGAAACCTGCTTTTCAGTTTCCAGTATATCAACTGTATTTGAATATACACCACCTGAAATAAAATAGAGCAACATTTTACAAACATACCAGGTCACTAAATCTAAAATCATTGTAATGGCTATTCTTTTTAACTTAAACATATGTAATGCTACGAAATGTTATGTAGAAATTATTAAATGTAGTGGGTATGTTTTATACTCACACACCTATAAGCAGTAGCAAAATAAAATGAGCAAATGACAGCATGATGAGAGATCCTCTGTGTCTAGTGGAAGACTTAGGTGCATGGCCAAAAAAGAACATGAAATTCACAAAGCTTATTCATTGATGTCTCCGAGCTCCACCTCCATGACCACTGCTTCTAAAACTTTTCTGAATGTTGATGTCAACAAGCATCTCCACCACCACAGTACTTCTATCCCACTTTTTAGTTTATTTAAGTACCTTTTTGAGTATACTCTCAGTAAACCACTAGTTTCATAGTTTTTATACTACAGATATACTTGTAACTTTAAGTGAACTTGAAATGTTTACTACTCATATTATTTTTTGTGCTTTAAAGTCTACTACTAGGTTTCTAATTAGGCATTTTTTATATTTGAAATATACCTTTAACTGTGTTTTAAGAAGACTTGAAGTTAACTAATATGAACACCACCAGGGGACTACACACAAAAATATACTCAGGATGAAGAATATTTGTTTTCTTTATAAATCAAAAAATTTAAACAAATATAGTATTGGATGCCAAAATATAAAAAATATAAAAATAAATATAAAAACATAACTTAAATTGACATTTCAGTTCAAAACAAAATACAGCTCACTCACATCTTGGAATATAAATTTGTAATTATTATATAATTTTAAACAGGGGCATATTAGCATCTCCAGTTCCCCTGATTACATGTCTTTGGACTGTGGGAGGAAACCAGAGCACCCAGAGAAAACCCACACAGACCTGGGGAGAACATGCAAACTTCCAAGAGAAAGGGCCCTGGTTACCCAGCCAGGGAATCAAACCCAGGCCTTTCTTGCTGTGAGGTGACAACATTACCAACAGGACCACCCAGAATCAAAACAGCTGGTTCAACTCATTCAGCACAGAAAAGTTTTTATTGTGAAATGCAGTGACTTGTGATTAACATATGAAAGTAAAATATTTACACTAGACAAATAACCTAATGTCAGGAAAGGTCTCCAGGAACATTCTTATATTTACCCACTAAAAATCCCACTGATCAGATTCAGGCATTGAAAATGTAAACTTCGTAAAACTTAGAAAGGCAGTACAAGCTTATCGTAGGCAGGAAATGATGGTTAGTCTTTCAAAGCAGACTAAAATTACAACCTGTAATGGGCTGAAGAACCTTAAGATCTAAATCAGGGGTGCACAACTCCGGTCCTGCAGGGCCGGTGTCCAGCAGAGTTTGGTGATTTACCTGCTCCAACAAATTGCCGGGTTAAGTGGGTGTGTTTGAGCAGGGAAACCTGCAAACTGTGTTGGACACCGGCCCTCCAGGACCGAAGTTATGCACCCCTGATCTAAATATAAAAGACAACCCCACCGCAACCATGGTCCTGTTTCTTTCTATACATACAATGGGCCTTGCCTACACTCTTAAAAGAGGGTTCTTTAGTGATAATGTTGTATTTATTTGCATGAATAAATGATTCATGGTGAAATCGTTCTTCAGACTGATGGAGAATGTGTTGTATATGGTTTTACATTGCACTGAGTTCAAAATCTGCAGTTTTTTAAAACCCATTTTGGTCCAAAACTGCACCTCCCGAGACCCTCTTTTTTTCGCAAACTAAAGTGCAAAGGGGTATTTTCCTGACTATAAGCACAGGCATAATGACAATGTCCAGTTTTTCACAAACTGTTTATATCACCCCCACATTTATTTATTTATTTATTTATTTATTTATTTATTGCCTGTGATCATCCACAACCTAACAGATGAAATGAATGTTCCTCTTAACAGTAATTTCATAATCATTATTTATACAAATTCCTTCATTCTGTTGATACTGCTTGAGTGCTGATAGCTCTTCTATGGAGAACATTGAGCCTGCTAAACTGTGATCATGAGTTTGAGGGTAGATGAATGAAAACACATGGCAAAACAACTGGACAGCGTATATTATTTGCATCAAGCATATCAACTTAGGTTCTCAATCTAGTCCACCTCAAGGCCCACAAGAAAACAAAACTCAAATTTTTGCTTAAAATGTAATTTTTGGGACTTTTTTCAACACAATGATATGTGAAGGCCTACTCTTGCGATGTATGATGTGATGTGTATTAGTGAACATGAAACATCTGCAGAATGTTGGTGTAAGTGGACAACTGAAAGGTCAAGCGTTTCTAGAGGCAAAGGGCAAAAAAAAACTGACGATGCTGCCTTTGTGCACTGTTATTGCGGGGCTTGTTTTACTGTTGTTAACTGTCTGAAAATATTTTAGATTCCCTGTTTATTGTTAAGTCAATTATTTTTTCACTGATTTTCATGACAAAGTGCCATCACCAGCCCACTATGGACACTGGCCCCCTTCAGTACAAGTCCAAGGACCACCAAGGGGTGCTTTGCGGCCCACTTGTGGTCCTTGGCCCAGAGGCTGAGAAACCCTGAACTACACCCTATCACAACCAGCCTGGTTAAAAATACAATCAGCACAGCATTCAACAAATAACACAAACTTACTAAATGAAATTTTCAAAAATAAGAAAATGGAAGTCTAGAAAAATCACATCAATTTACAGGCCTTTAGCCACATAGCTAGAAGATCATAACTAGAATAATCAACATACATATCGCAGTAATAAACCAGACTAGTAACTTAAAAATACTTCAGCATATAACTGTAACAGGTCTTTGGAGATACTTACTAAAACTGGTCTTTGTCCTATTTAAACATGAATTTGTCTGTTTAACATTTGATTTTTCAACATGAGTTCTCTCAAATGGATTTCAAAAGTAGCATATCAGCTACAGGCTTTGTTACATTAGCCAAGTCTACTAAACCTCCCTGCCTAAAACATCTGACAGGGGAACATGTGGCCAGTCTTTTTACAGCAGTGTATTAATTTTGCATAGCAATGGACACTCGATTGATAAAGGGCATTTTTTCCAGCACCCCGAGCTAGCAGATTGACATCAAAAGCAGATTGACTTGGTGTCATCAAGAGTGTTACATTTGAAAATAGCTCCCCCTCCTGTGAAAAGCAAGGCTCTACCTCAGTCATATGAAATGTTTTTGTACAGTGTAGCTGGGTTTCCAGTCACTGTGGGCTCCAAAGCACAGTAGTAGAGTGCAGAGTCTGATACTGTAGCAGAGGAGATCTCCAGATCCACTGTATTACTCTCTTTTTGAAGTTTGATGGACAATCTTGGGTCAAGTTTTTCAGCCTTAATGACAAGATCATTGGACACAAAAGTCAGCAGCAGAAACTTTGGTTTTGATGCAGGTTTTTGTTGGTACCAGTGGAGTCTGTAAGGTGATCCATCATATGTGCAGGACAGTGTGGTTCTGCTGCCTTCACTGGAAGAGATGGTGGTTTCATTTGGTCTGATAGGGTCAACACTTTCACCTACAAAGTCATGACAACAGTATTACAATATTTACTTTTTTGTAATCGATTTAACTCTTTTTAAAATACTATGTTATACTATTCATTAGAATACGTATATGACTTACCAAGACTGGAAACAACCATGCAAACAGAGAAGAAGAGCAGCATGATTGTTCTGAGTGAGAGCTCAGATCTCCAGCATTATCCAGCAGTGTTGTCTGATGTTGTTGTGTTACCACTTCTAGCTCCACCCACTCCTAGTTCACAAACTACATTCTCACTCATCTGTACTCTGATCTCATTTCATCTGGTAAGGCAATGTTTTGCTTTCAAAATCTGTGTTATGATGCTACATGTGTGTCTGAATTAACATATGTATACGTAGAATTTATTAGTACACCTGTCTTGATCATTTATTGACCATTTTATCAGGTACCTATCCAATAAGTGTGCACTCATAACAGTGCAACACCCACTACCATGCTGGTGTCATGCTGAGAATTGTCCACTAGCCAAATAATATATGGTCAGTGGTGGTCCCACAGCAGTCCTTTTCCACAGATGGACAGGATAAAGTGGTGCTAATAAGTTGCACAGCAAAAAGGTCAGTAACAGTAGCTGGAGCCAGTAAAAGTAAACCTACAAAGCACCATATAGTAAGGATGCAAGATGAAATGGCCAGTAAGTGCAGCTACTCGCTACTGTAATATCATTAACATCATTAACTCTGGAAGCTGATAATCACCAATGCTTCTCAGATGTTTGCCTTTAATTCAGACTTGAATGTAATAATGTATGTATGAATGTATGTAATAATGGCCTTACCTGGCCATCATTCATAGATCATCTGATGTTGCTCAGCTCAAAAGTGAAGTAAGAGCCACTATTGAAATATCTGAGAACTTGACTGTTAGGTTTCTGTTGCAACATTTAGATCATATTTGAGGGTGAATATCAGTGAATAATTTAGAGTTTTGACTGGCTATATTAAATTTTACTGGATTAAGTTTCAGTAGATCATAATTATGTAACAAAAATGCACTATTTTTCATTCTGCACAAAACTTTTCTGGATGGATACAGGTCTCTGATAATGATTATTAGACAACATAACAGGACTCACAACTATTTTCTTTCCTTATGTAAACTGATGAGTGTAAATGTGATTTTTTTTCATAAATGAGAATCAACAATCTGTATGTCATCACACACAGCTTCAGGAATAAAGGGGAAGATGATGTGACATGCCACCCCTTAAGACTGTAAAGCTAACTGTATATGTGATATTTGTGATAATAATTCCACTCCATTATAATGATGACAAAAAACAAATAATGCTAAAATTGAAACACTTTAAATGCCAATTTAGTTTATTTATTAAATAATTGTATTAGTTAATTATAACTTGTATAAAATGTAAATTAATTAAAATTATTTGTATTATTGTTGTTGTTGCAGTTGTTGTTATAGCAACATCAATTTAACAAAACAATAACATTGAACATTTCACCATTAATTGTAAATGATTACAGAAAAGAACAGGTGTGGATGTAACTGATAAGCTGAAAAATCTAGAAAAAAGCAAGATGGTGAAAATATAATGTTACATTAATATAAGTTTAGCCCATCCCACTGTATAAAACAGCCTCAACTCTGTTATGTCTGTGGGTTTCCTCCCATAAACTGCTTGCTTCAGGTCCTTCCACAATATTTCTATAGGATTAACTTCAGGACTCTGATTGGCCATTACAAAACTTTAACTTTATTCTTTTTTGACCATTCTTTGGCAGAATGACCTGTGTGCTTAGGGTCTTTGTCTTGCTGCATGACCCATGTTCTCTTGAGTTTCAGCTCACGGACCGAGGTTTCTCAATTTAACCAAAAAGATCTATTTTGGTCTCATTCATCCACAAAACATTGTTCCAAAAGCCTTCTGGCTTGTCCATGTGATCTTTAGCAAACTGCAGATGGGCAGCAATATTCTTTTCGGAGGGCAGAGGCTTTCTCCTTGCAACCCTGCCATGCACACCATTGTTGTTCAGTGTTATCCCGATGGAGGACTCATGAACCCCTCAAAACCCTCTTCAATTTCAACCCAGCTTGCATGTACCCATTGATTAGTCTCTGGGAAGGTTTGCACATGTAATGTTTAGCAAAGGAGTATGAGCCTATTGCAAGCAGCAATAATGTGACATTTGAATTAGACTGACATTATGAACTGGGGTTGAAGAATGGCTCTCATCATGGCTCTCATCTTTTGATCCTGGAACAATTAGAAGTAAATACTCTGGTTTGGATGCAGGATCCTGACGATATCAATACAGAGTTCTCGCATCACCATCATATGTGCAGGAAAGATTAACTCTCTCATCTTCAACAGCATGAACCCGCATTTTGTCCTCCAGCGGTGATACTGACTGTGCAGAACAGTAATAATAATAATATTAATAATTTTATTTGATAAACGCCTTTCAAGACACCCAAGGACACTGTACAATAAAAATAACAAAGATAAAATTAAAATAAAAAATACACTAAAAATAAAAATAAAAAAAATAAAATCACAGTACTGGTTCACCCAAACGCCATCTGGAAAAGGTGGGTTTTAAGACTAGCTTTGAACATAGCCAGGGTCGGACAAACATGCAAATCAGAGGGGAGACTGTTCCACAGCTTGGGGCCAGCAACACTGAATGCCCTGTCACCAACAGTACGCAGCTTAGAGGGAGGAACTTTGAGCAAATGTGAATCCAAGGAGCGAAGAGTGCGAGCTAGAGAGTATAACTGAAGCAGACTACCAAGGTGGGAGGGGGCAAGGCCATTCAAAGATTTAAAAACCAGCACAAGCAATTTGTATCGAACGCGATACCATACTGGGAGCCGATGAAGCTGTTTCAGAGTTGAACTGATGTGCTCCCAGGATCTTGTGTGGGTTAAAATCCTAGCAGCTGAATTTTGCACATACTGCAGTCTATTCAGAACAGTCTCAGCAAACCAGGCAAGTGCAGTACCAGATATGCCAATCAAATTTTGAAGCCGATGTAGTAGTAGGCTATGGCATACTGTATCAAAAGCGGCAGTAAGGTCCAATAGAACAAGCAAATTCAACAAACCCTTATCAGCTGCTATTAAGAGATCATTCACCACCCTAACAAGCACAGTTTCAGTGCTGTCATTCTTTCTAAAACCAGACTGGAAAACTTCAAACAGGTCATTGGATTCGATATGGTGTATTAACTGGACTGCTACCGTCCGTTCAAGTATTTTGGTGAGAAATGGGAGATTAGAGATTGGCCTGTAATTTGCTGAATTCTCAGGGTCTAAACCAGTCTTCTTGAGAACCGGTGTAATGGCAGCCAATTTCAAACAAGCTGGGACAAAACCTGAACTGAGTGATGCATTGATAACCTGAGTAATGAGAGGACAAATTGAAGCATGACAAGCTTTCACCCAGTGTGTTGGCATGGGGTCCAGTTGGCAAGTGGTAGCTCTAGAGGACTTAAGTTGTAAGACAAAACTTTCATGCACAGTATTAAAAGTGGAAAAACAACTGTCGGTAAATTGAAAAGACAGAGGCTGGAAATTCAACAAAGCTAAAATAGGCTGAAACTGAGAGTAAATTAAATCAATTTTTTGATTAAAAAAAAAAGCCATAAGCTGAGAACAAAGTTCTGGTGATGGATCCAGAGGGAAACATTTCACAGGACACAGTAACTTATTAACAGTAGAAAACAGAGCTCTAGAACTACCATGCGCCTTGGATGATTTTTGAATAATAGAGTGTTTTAGCTTTCTTCAATTCCTCCTTATAGCTAAAAACATGATCTCTGTAAGCGAGGGCATGGACCGTCAAGCCAGTTCTCCTCCAGTGGTGCTCAAGCTGATGAACAGCAGCTTTCAGTTTGTGCAGTTCGTGTGTTTACCAAGGAGCAGGATGTGAAAAAGTTACAGTGCGTGTCCTAAGAGGAAATTGAGACAGATAATTCAATATACTTGAGAGAGTTTCATCATAATAGGATGCTAGGAAATCAGGATTCATAGATTCAGGTATAGGAACCTGACTAAGCATATTCATAAGGACAGGAGGACTAACGTTTTTAACATTTCTAAAAGTGAACTGGCGTGGATCGCGCTGCCCTCGCTGGTGACATGGTAAAAGAAGATCAAAGAAAACAGCCTTATGATCAGATATGAATAGAGGTCGAAACACTGAAGCAAATTTAAAAATTCAGTGGCAAATGAACAGTTACTAGAATCAACATGAATATTAAAATCGTTAAGCAGCAGCATGTCAGAATACATAGGACTGAGTGAGGTGAGTAACTCAGAAAGCTCAGAAATGAAAACAGGAGATACTTTAGTTGGACGATAGACAAGCACAATCAGTAAAGGTCTAGCAGCAGAAATAAGCACAGCTAGGCATTCAAATGATGTCATATGAGGAACTGGAACAGTTTTTACTCTGAGCTTGGATCTATGCCCCACAGCAAGTCTTCCACAACGGCCAGTTAAACGTGGTTGGTCCACATATTGATAGTGAGCAGGTAGAATTTGGTTCAGAGCAAAATAGTCAGTAGGTTGTTGCCAAGTTTCAGTCAAACACAGCAAGTCAATATTATGTTCCAAAATAACATCAGCCATAAACGTCGCCTTGTTATTTAGAGAGCGAACATTGAACAGAGCACAATTAACATTCAGGTCGGTGTTCACTGGAGACAGATTCATTATGGGAACATTCCGAGCGCTTATTTTATTACAAAAACCTGGCAACATCCTGACAACCTCACAGCGATGACCAAAGTGAGGGAATATTGTTAGAATGCTGTTGGTAGACAGTCCAACCCAAGCTACAGTGGCAATATTTGGGCCTTCGCAAGATTCCAAGGTGACGATGCGAGAGTAACGGAGCCAGGATTTTGTACCGTGAATTTTGAAGAGCATAAATTTCACTGAATGAGTACCTTATCGTCATAATGCCAGTAGCCAGTCCTCAGTAGCCTGAGGAGAAAAAAATAATAAACAAACAAACAAAAACTGAGCTTTGAATTGAAAAATGTATATTTAATCCAAATATAAATTTGCCATGCATACCTACCATGATGATAAACACAGTCAGAGAGCACAGAAACATCATGGTGGTTCCAGTGTTCAGATAATGAGGAGAGATTTTTTGCTACTTTAAAAACGTGTAAAGACTCCTCCTACATACTGTAACTGACACATTTGTAAGTGTGTCAGTTACAGTAACAGTGCTAACAAAATTATTATATTTTTTTTAGCTGTAATCATTTATTCATAGTTAGTCTATTGTTTTAGCTCCTCTCCCAATGCTTATGTGGCATTGTGCTTATGACAATTTGAACTAGGGTCTTTTATACATAAATGGTGTGGCTGCAGGTTTTTATTCCAACAAAGCAGGACCTCAACTCATCAGTTGTTTAATGACTGAGACCAAGTGATTAAACAAATAGAAATAGTTGTGTTCATTAGCCACACCTATCTTGAACCTCCACCCATGATTCATCTTATCAGGTATACCAGGGGTGTCCAGTCTTATCCATAAAGGGCCAGCGTGGCTATAGATTTTCATTCCAGCAAAGCAGGAGATCACATGATCAGTTGTTTGAAGGCTGAGCCATTGATTAAACTAGTGGAATCAGATAGGCTCCTGCTTATTTGAAATGAAAACCTGCAGCCACACTGGCCCATTGCAGATAAGATTGGACACCCTGAGGTACACATACCGTACAGAGCTCAAAAGTAGTTTTCGGGACAGTATTTGAGAACAGCAGTCCAACTGAGCAATAGCAAGCTACAAAACATTCACCTAAGCCCCCATTTTACGTCAAAACAAATGTGGGGACACTAATCCAACCGTTCTCTAATGGTAATGACATTGCTAGCCTGTTGGAATTTTCAATTAATAGTAGCATGTTTTCAATCTGAATCTGCTGCGAGCTACTGATATAACTACATTATACACATGAAAAGTGTGTAGCTAGTTCTCTCAAAATAGTTCACAGTTGTTATGTTTTGTCTTAAGACTTAATGTTTCCAGTGTAGACATCCTATAATTACCTCCAGAATGTCTAGATTCTATTAATGTCATAATGGCTGAGATCATTATGAGGTCAAAAGGATATGATTCCAAGAATGTTCTTCTATGTACCCACTGATAGACTCAGGGAAGAGGTTTAGAAAAGCCCCATTAGCTTTTTGAGCACAGCATGATCAAGTTTGTCTTCCAAATCAGTCTGACATTATAACCTGGGGGATGAAGAGGCTGAAGGTCTAAATGAAAAAAGTAAGCAGTTCCACATCCTGACAACAGCATTGCTCTGCATGAGTCATATGAAACACTTTTTTGTACAGTGTAGCTGGGTTTCCTGTCACTGTGGGCTCCATGGCACAGTAGTAGAGTGCAGAGTCAGATACTGCAGCAGAGGAGATGATCAGATCCACTCTTTTAACATCCACATCAGCATTCAGTCGTGGAAACTGTGGGGTTGCATGGCTCACATCTTTTGATGCTGGAATGATCATCAGTAAATACTCTGGTCTGGATCCAGGATACTCACGATACCACTGCAGATTACGCACAACACCATCATACTCATATGTGCAGGAGAGAGTAACTGTCTCATCCTCATAAGCATGAACCTGTGTTTTGTTCTCCAGGGGTGCTATTGACTGTGCACTACTGTTGCCTGAAATAAATAAAGAAAAATAGTTACATTATTTACTGTTATACGTGATCATTTTGCATAGACAAAAGTAGATTTAAAAACATCTAAAATATATATTTCATCTAGATAGAAAAGCACAATGCATACCTACAGCACAGAGGCTAACACACTTTTAAAACACATTTAAAAACATCTTTTCATATAGATATAAACTGAATTGATAACATGTACCTATCATGATCATAAAGACAGTCAGAGAGCACAGAAACATCATGGTGGTTCCAGTGTTCAGATAATGAGGAGAGATTTGGATGCTACTTTTCAAGCATGTAAAGACTCCTCCTACATTCTGTAGAGGAATGCAGCTCAGATGCATCACAGTTATTTAATCTCCCAGCCAAAAGTAAAATATTATTTCTTAACTGTTGACAGTAGTCAGTTATAATTAATTTATAATGTTGTTTTTAGACTTAATTTTTGCTACTTTTCTGTTACTTGTTTGGTGTTTATGAGGTTATAACCATGCATGTTTAATTATGTTTAATCACTCGTGTATACTGAGGTACAGTACCTTGCAGTTTGTTCAATTTAAGGTGCACTTTTTAGATTTACAGCTACTGTCAGCTCTTTACTCCAATCTAATAGTACAGGGAGATTCACTCGAAAGAGGCCCCAAATATTCTGTTGTAACTCCCATTAGGATGAAGCAATCTGAACCAAAAATGAACAATTACTAGAATCAACATGAATATTAAAATCCCCAAGCAGCAGCATGTCAGAATACATGCAACATACCTTGGCATATGTGTAATATATTGCATTACATTTGATGCTGGAAGTGATCTCTGTTTTCTGCCTGACACATTTCGATGTGGTGCCCCATGTTCCTGAACGTATCTGCAAGCATATAGCAATAGCAGCAATTTCAAGTTGGATGTTTTCCTTCAAATCTTCCACAGTGCAAGGCTTGCTCCGATATACTTTTCCTTTGAGCATACCCCAAAGGAAAAAGTCTGGTGGTGTCAGATCCAGCAACCGTGGAGGCCCAAGCCCCTTTGAAATTACCCTGTTGCCAAAAAAGGACTCAATTCTTGCCATGCTCCTTGCCTACCTCATCACTCCGACACAGGGGCATCCTGGCTTGTTCGAAGCTCCATATACTGAGGAACACAATGCACAGTGTTCCATTCAGATTGCTTCGTCCTTCCAGAATATTCGGGGCTTTCGAGTGAATCTCCTTGTATATTAATCATACCAAAAAGGATAAGACATAGTAAAGAAAATTATAGTAGGGTTGCAACCCCCTCATTACAAAGAGAAATGCACCTTTGAGAGTTCAGTTGTGTAAAAACCACAGCCACTGGCCTAAAGAGATGTAGAAAAAAAGAGATGGTCAGATGAGTCATCCCTCACCATATTCTATACAAGTAGGTGAGCGAATGTGTGCCATGCACCACAGGCCTAAACACTTATCCCTAAAGATGAAGGATGGTTAGGATCCTTAGAGGGAAAGGGAACCCTAGTCTGCTGAAGGCAACAGTGCTACCCACTAATCTACATCAACTGCATTTAACATAAAGGTTCTTTACCAATTGAAGGGTTCGTCTTTACAAAGGGCCTTTACAATATGTAGAGATTCTATAACCTTTGAAAAGGTTCTTCACACATCTTATTTACAAAAATGATTCTATAAGGAATGTTCTCCATTATCATTATAAGTGTTGTCAAGACTCCTGGTGACCATATGTATAGTATTCCTCCAGAATACCCAGTCTGTTCTTTAGGCTTCTGAATGGTTGCGTCATGCCTCCACTGATTGTTATATCCATCTTTTGGCTGCTCGTCTGCTCCCTCGTTTATCTTCAACTGTTCCGAGCATAATGGTCTTTTCCAATGAATTGGTTCTTCTGAGAGTATGTCCAATATAAGAGAGCTTCAGTTTGGTTATCTGAGCTTTGAGTGAGAGATCATGCTTGATTTGGCAGAGGATCCATTTGTTTCTTTTCTGTCCAAGGTACTCTCAGAGGACTTCACCAACACCAAAGTTCAAAAGCATGGATATGTTTCTTGTCATGACTCTGGAGTGTTGACCAGTGTAGTAGTTAATCAATAGAATGATGAGATTCTCTGCTCTGATTGACACAAAGGCTTTTCTGCAGTCTAGAAACCACATGTTGACTTCCTTCTTGCACTCCTTGTCTTTTTCAAAAATCCAGCATTACACCTGCAGTGTTATGTTTCGTTCCTCTTGCCTTTCCTAAATCATGCATGCATATCTGGCAGTTGTCTTTCAATGTAAGATCTGCACTGAATGATGTTGGGCATAATTTTACTGTTTACATTGTGCAATAGCTGGCACACTCTTTTTTGTTTCCCTTCGTTGGTATTGGGATTTAAACTGACCTCTTCCAATCTGCACTTCCAATCTAGAACTGAACAACATCTTTTTTGTTAAGATCTTTTGTGTTTTCCTTCCATGTTTTTTGTATTTTTGTTTTATCTGTGATGATCTGTCCATTGACATCTCTCAGTGTACCCAGTCATGCCTAAAATGTATTTTTGATCCTGTATCCTCAGAAAAACAGTCCTTGTTTTTCCACATTTGTTCCCATTTTCAATATATTTATGAAGTTGTTGTGGTATTGGTCCATACCTTTCCAAGCTGCTCTCTGGAATACATGGTTAATTCTCTTAAAAGATCTTTGTCCTTCTCAATTTTAGCTCCACTGTGTCATAAGACATCTACTTTGATTTCTTTCTCCTTGTCGTTATTTCCAAGTTTTTCTTTGATTCTTCTTTGATGGGTTCTTTGAGTCCAATCCATAGTTTTTTTTTCTGATTCTGTGTCAATTATATCTAACATTTGAGATTTGTGAAATGGTTTGTTCTCCAGGCAATATATTGAAAGTTTGATGATTTTTATATTTGTTTTTCTCAATTTTGTCAGAATAGAATTTTACTTTCAAAATGTGTTTGACTCACAATGAGTGTTATTATGTCATGTGGTCCTAGGAATATTCTGTTAAGTGACCACTAAACAAATTCAGTGAAGTTAACATTTGGAAAAGCAGTATAACATTGTAGTCAGGAAGATGATGAATTGTTTTCCATTTTAGGTGTACATTACAAGTTGTGGGTTGAAGCGGTTGAAGGTCTAAAGACAATTAAGGCAAACAGCTCCCCCTCCTGACAACAGCATTGCTCTGCATATGAAACATTTTGTACAGTGTAGCTGGGTTTCCTGTGGGCTCCATGGCACAGTAGTAGAGCGCAGAGTCTGATACTGCAGCAGAGAAGATCAACAGATCTATGCAGGAGAGAGTAACTGTCTCATCTTCAAGAGCATGAACCTGCATTTTGTTCTCCAGTGGTGCTATTGACTGTGGAACACAGCTTCCTGTGAAGAAATAACCAAAAAATAATACAAAATAAATAAACAATGTTGCATCAACATTTAGTATTGTATGTATGATATATTACTGACAGGCACATCACTAGAACATTGGGACAAAAAGCTTTATTTTAAAACCAGAAATATTATGATCTAATATCATGATCTAAATATGCCACACATACCTAACATGATCATAAAGACAGTCAGAGAGCACAGAAACATCACGGTGGTTATCTGAATATCATGGTGTTCAGATAATGAGGAGAGATTTGGTGCTACTTTTCAAACATGTAAATACTCCTCCTACATTTATCAGTGGATCTGCTAAAAGAACAGAGGAATGTAGATCAGGAGAAGGGCAGGGCAAGGCAAGATTTTATACAGTGCTGCATAAAAGTGTGTGAACCCTTTATCATATTGTGAATTCCTACATTAATGTGACCTAATATATGTAATGCATTTGTTGTCAAAAGTAAGTGAAGAGTATGTTTCTATTTTTAACTAGAAACCATCAAAACAGGAGGAATTAGAGATATCATTTGGACTTTTGGATCCTAAAACATCCCTGAGGACAGAGAACATTCATACTTTTAACTAGGTGTTATTACTGTGCACTGGCTTCAAACGCTTTGAATAATGAACACTTGTAGCAAGTGTACAATGTTGCATTAATAAGTTCATAGTTTTAATCTGATGTGTGCAAGAGAACAGTTTGCCTTCATACTGATCTTCTGATAACCAAGTTCAGTTACTAATCCTCTGAGGTCAAAGGGCATTTTTTCACTTTTGCTAATCTTCTTAAATGAACCTTTAAGGGAACTTGCATATAACATAATACCAATGTTTTCATATCAAAACACTTTACTTTCATCAAACACTGCAGCAACTTCAGCAGCTGTAAACTTTCGCCCGATGGCAACTGAATGAAGAATGAAGGGTTTCTGATGTGATGGGTAAGTCATTTCCTGAGTTTCTATTGGTCAGTTTAATGCAGAATGTAGATGGACACATATATCCACCAATTACACAGAATGAAAGGCAGATGACGAGTTTCTCAACTCCTCTTCATAGCCTCATAACTCTAGATGTGAGTCAAGATGAGATGAAATTGAAATGCTGACTCTACAGATTCAGGATATGTTTGAACTGTATTTCTGTCCTGTATTATCACAAAGATAGAGAAACATATAGAGAGACATTGAATTTGACACACAGGCGAGTTTGTGACCCAGAGGGTTAAAGTTTTACGAAGCTCAAGACTTCGTAGTAATGTGATAACAGTAACTTTGATACAAGCTTTGATTCACTATGATGAATCAGCAGGCTTTGATGCCTCGATATCAAACATCACATCACTGTTCGCTCGTTGCGGTTTGGTGACTTCAGCCTTCATTAAACGGGTCACTGCCTGCTCTGCCAACTGATAGAGCTACAGTCATGTTCAGCTGGCAGAGGACTGTAAAACTGCTCTACCAAGAGAGAAGAATGTTTAGATGGTGAAGAAGAGGTGAGATAGGGTCTCCTCTTGCACTGCACAGCTCAACTGTGTCACATCAAAAATATGTGCAAAACAGTAGTTGATGGATTTTTTTCTTTGTTAGCAGAAAAATTGTCTGTATTTACCTGAAATGCTGTGAAAAACTAACCCACTGGATTTTTTTTCATAGACACTTATGCATTTATACATTTAAATTTAATATTATAAACGTTTACTATCATCACCTACAAGGATGGGCAGGTGTTCAGCTCAAACACACAGACCCACCTTCTTTGAAATAAGCTCCGCCCTCAAACAAGTTTATATTATATTATTTAAGCCTTTCCACAGCTGGAATGAACAGCTGGAAAAGAAATGCTGTTTTTTGTTTTTTTGTTTTTTTTGAGTAGCAGAAACTGTTTTTTTTTTTTTTGCAAATAATCCACCCCGCAAAAAAGTAAGGCATTACATACAATAGAATATTAAATAAAATTAAAATATAAATTTAAAAAGTAGCGTTTTAACAGAACACGTGGTGCAGTAGTAGTGCATTATGGGAAGCTGGAAACTGTACATATACAGATGTAAAGGGACGGCGTTCCACTCATTTCTGTTGGACGTTCAGTAGGTAAGACGTGCGCTGCCGCTCTCTGTGACTAACTGACCTTCACTTTAAGTCTGTTGGGTTCTCTGAACAATATCAGTGCAGAACCGAGCT